AACTTAACGTTAAAAGTATAAAGTAGTGAAATAATTTACTCTGGGAATTGTAAAGTTTCATTTCAATATATTTTTACAACGGTAGTCATTTTTACCATGAAGACAAATCCAGAGGTCAAATTTTTTTTTCAAATTAAAGAATATTACATTATCTTTAATTTAAGATATATATAAAAGTGTCAGCATTTTCGGAATACTTTCAAAAATTAAATGGAAAATATCTTAGTAACAATACGCATGTTTAAAGTTTTGACCCCCTTGTATAAAGGGGTATGATTCGATTTACAAAAAAAGCGTGTCAGATGAAAGGGGTATATAAAAATTTATTATAAAAAAATAATAATATTGATCCATACATTTTTCCAAAAGTTATATAAAGTATAAATTAAATAATATAAAATGAAATTGAGAATTTTTTCACGGAAATCGTACGTTTTTCTTTAACTTTGATGTCCGTTTTCACCATGAAGACAAGTCCAGAGGTCAATTTTTTTTTTTCAAATTAAAGTATACTATATAAACTTTAATTTAAGATATATATAAAAGTGTCAGTCTTTCAAAAGTTAAGTTGAAAAAGTTAATTTTTTGTAAAAAAGTTACCATTTTGAAACCCTACCTGTGGGCTTGTAAAGAGACAAATGTTAACAAAAATATATAAAATGATTGGTTAATACCTAAGGTATCTATAAAAAAAAAATTATATTGATTCGGTCATTTATAAAAAAGTTATGGCAATTTTAAGTAAAAATAATTGAAAAAATATCATAAATTAGCGATTTTAAAATTTGTAATTTTTTGGAGAATTTTCCACGTTTACGGGGAACGAGAGATTTTTTTTCAAATTTTGAGGGTATTGTCTTCAACTAGATACGATTTGTGATCTTTTCACATATTTTTCATCAAAATCGGTGGTTCAGTAAGAGCTGAGATTGAGCGTATACAGACAAAAAAAAAACACATCATAGTAAAATTAATACCTTCTCAGCTTCGCATCGAAGCTAAAAGAAACCCAAATTATTTACATATTAACTAATAAAAAATGAACACATCAAACAAATTTTTATCTATAAAATAAAATTATTAATTCTAAATATATAAGTCTTTAAGTTATGACAAAAATTGAAAAAAAAATAAAATAAAAAGAATAGATTTTTGGTACAAATGTAAATATTAGTTTTTTTTATTACATAACTGTAAAAAAAAACTCAAATTGCACTTGGCAAGTAGTACATATCAAGTAAATATATAAAATTTTCTATTTAATTTATTTAAGGAAATAATGTTATCAAACAATTAAACATAAAAACTGTTACATATGATTATGTTTTGGCAACTTAGGTAACAGTGCTTTCATAACAGCATCATAAAAGTTTTATAAATTGCACTGGAATCCAATTTTAATATTTCAACATATTAAGTTAATTAGGTAAAAGAAAAAATAGAAAGAAATTAATTGGTTAAACGTTAAAAAATTTAAATTTTAAAAAGCAAAAATTATATTTTCATAGTAGAGGAATATAACAAAACAACATAATGCTAATTAAACCCCAACCTCTTTAATGTATTTTTACTAACTAGCCGTGATGTTCCACCATCACCAGCCCATGTTTTAGACTTGGATCTAAATAATCTAAGTTCTTTTTTATGAGCTGGATCTAACATAGCTCGGTAGTTAGATGGCTCACACAAGTGCCTATATTTACTGAAAAATTTACAATAACCCCCATCTAGCAAATACATCTCTGGATAGTCCAAATATGGATAGCACATACTATTATTCTCTCGATCAGCATTACGTAAATATCGTGATCTGCAAAATGTAAAAATATTTATGAAAACTACGTATATCTTAGTTTCTTATGATATTAATGAAAACTAAGATGGATGACATTTAAAAAAATTATAATACATACATACAGTTATTGAAATAATAAATTAATTATGTAAACCTATTAAAAATTATTTACAAGGGGTTTACGTTATAATTCTGTTACAATATTTTAAAAAATTTTAACAACTTTTGTAAATTAAAAATGTAGTTGAAGTATAATGTTTTACATTAGAAATTGTAAAAGTTCTACAATTTTTTTTTATCAAAAAGTACATTGAATGGTGCCTTGATTTTTCCATAAGTACAAATGTTATTCAGATTAAATTGTTGTTGGAACTTTTTAAATATTTATTACAGGAGCCTTTACTGACATATAAGAAGAAAAATAATAATATTATTATAAATTAGATTGTCTAAAAAAAATTACTCGAAATATATTACAGTATAAATCTTCTTTAGTATTCAATCGTGAGATTGGTTTGTAGCAATTCTCCACTTTTCCCTGTTACGCGAAATGTATTGTGCGTATGCTAATATTTTTTGAAGTAAAAAGTCCTCTCTTTTCGTTAAATGTTATCTTAGCTTGGCATATTCGCTTTACTATTCCTTTTTACTTCAGCCATCCTTACTTACTATGCTTCCCAAGTATGCGAACAAACTCTTCTACTTGCTTTATTTCTTGGTTATTTTGCAGATGTATTCTTGTCGTAATATTATTGCTGCATACGAGAACTTTGGTCTTTTTCGTATATTTTTTTCATGCTCAGTTTATTGAGCAGAGTTCTCTCATTTATATTTATATTGTTTGTAAGTTCTTTACGATCATTTTTTCTTCTTGATACTATTTTCTTGATCTCTGGTTATTTTTCATCATTAATAGGTTATGGTCACTATGTATGTCTGCTCCTGGGTAGCTTCTGCAGTCTTTTACTTGGTTTCTTAATCTCTCCTTAACCATAATATAATCTATTTGATATCTACCTATGTCTCCCAGCATTTTCCATGTATATCTTCTTCTTGGATGGTGATTTAAGTAGGTATTTGTTATTAATAACTTGTGTTTTGAACAGAAATATATCTCTTCTTTTATTTCGGTTTCCTAGATCATCATTTCCTATTATGTGCCCTAGGCTTTCTTTTCCTACTACAGCGTTCCAATCACCCATAATGATAAGATTTTCATCTCCTTTAAATTTTTCAATGATTTTTCTATTCCTTCATAGACTTCTTCCATTTCTTTCTCACTGCTATTTGAAGTAGGCATGTAAACTTGGACTATGATTGTATCCTTAGGTTTTGTTTCGATTTTGACTAATATTATTCTATCATTGTACTGTACAAATACTTTAACTTTTTTCCCAATAGCCTTACTCATTATTAGGCCTACCCTCCAATTCCTGGGTTATTCTCCGCTGTTCCTATGTGTGTATCAACCTATATTCCCCACTCCATAGATCTCCAGCTCTTCAAGTTCTTCAAGCAGTTCCAAGTAGCAATTCTTCCCCAACTTAACATTTCCTTCTTCTCCAGTAATCCCCACCCAGAGATCCGATCGGGGGACTATTTTACCTCCGGAATATTTCACTTTAGAAGATGTCATGTTATTGCTATTTCTTGGGATGATTTATACGGTGGTCTCCCCTTGCCTTCCGTATCACAGTGCAGCCACTAGTTAAACAGTTACCGTATCTGCTTGTTGCTGTTTAGTATGTAGCTGTTTTGTACCATNGGTGTGTAGCTGTTTCTACCATTGTAGGTTACCTGTACCAAGACCCAATATTGTAGTAGCTGCTGCCCTACTACAAGTCCCTTTCAGTCACTTTTTACAACAGGCAGGGACAACCGATGGTCTATTGAATAGACCATCTGTTGGATACACATCGATCGAATATGCTGTCAAGAAAATGTGTTTTTGATTATTCATGTTATCGTTGTGTTACATCGAGTTGTTGTCGGTTTTCTCTCTATGTTACCTTTGTCGCAGCCATCTTAACGATTCTTCTGTTATAAGCTCTATGGCGTTTGCGAGCCAGTTTTTTTTTTTTTTTGTATTCGTTTTACTGTAAAAAAGAAAATATCACCTTCAATTGATCCTTTCAATATTCAACATTATCATCAGCCGTTTCTTTTAGCAGATAAGTATAATGCTTGTTCATTTATCTTTCTAAGACTCACTTGTATAATTTATTATTTGTTTATATCATCGCCTTTGTGGCATTAGTATTAAGTGTCCCCCCTATCCACATTGGTGTATATAAGATTTTATATTTATTTTATAATAGATTTAATTTTTATAATTATATCTTGTGAAATTCATTCTACATTCAAACATACAGTCCACTCATCTCATTCTTTATCCTCGACATAGCTAAAAACTTAAGACAAAACAAAACCACGAACATTAACGAACCCGCGTGAACACCAACGGGCGCTGCGTTCATACACCATCGGTTTGGCCACCCCTGGTCTATTATAACCTCGACCAACAGGGGTTATAGTATAAATAACAATTAATATTAAAAGGAATGACTGAAAAATGTCATTAATTAGTTTCTCTCCATTATCCTCTAAACATCATAACAATACAAAATGTTCTATTAAAATTATAAAAATTAACATAAAGATAATTTATAATGAAATAATAATGTTATTAATTACAAACAATTTTAGAGGAAAAAATTTTTTATAATAATTATATCAGTTAATAGATAAAGTAGTAAATTCCCTACAATTAAATTTCAATTTTTGGTATGACTTTAGATAGGAATAAATATTTTGTGGCCAATGATTTAATTGATTTTTATTTTTGTTAAATATTTATTCAACCGTTTATTATTAATTCTATCATAAATCTAATTTGATGTTTACATTACTTGACCTTTTAACTAACAATATATTTTAGATAGAGAAACAGTTCAAATATTATCACTTTTAAAGCATTATTTATAATAAACATGATCGCTTATTAATTATATTTATTTATAATGAGTATTAAAAATGAATAAATAATTTTAAAAAGTAATCTTCTTTATTTTCTACCTTTTTCAAAAGCAGCATTAATAGAAGCTTCACTAGTAGAAAATAATCAAATAAAGTACACTTTCCCTGAGATACAGGGGCAGTTAAAAGACTGTTTATATAATCAAGTCATGGAGAATTAAATGACATAGAAAGACTTATACTAGGTCTAGTTTTCTTTAATAATACATTAGTTTCAGGGGTTGATTCTAGATCACGTGTTAACTTTCTTTTTCTCACAACTGCTTCATTATTTTTAATATCACCAAACAATAAATCCTATAATATATACATGTATATTAAATCTATGATTATTGAAATAATAAATTGTTTTATAATAATTACAGTCTTGCGAGGAGTATCTGAAGAATATTTTGTAATTTTTCTTTTAAGAATAATTGATGTCTGGCTAATAGTATCTCCTTCTATTAATGTACTGAATCCAAGTAGAAGTGAATCTGGAGACTAGAAATAAAATAAAATTAGGAAAAAAACTTTTAACCTTTTTAAATGGTAAAATAATTACCGATCTTGTTGGGGATACAGCAATGTCTAAGAATTCATCATCTGAAACAGCTGTATATGATGTATTGCTCTCAGATCGCATATCAGATAATGTCGACACTGATCTAGAATCATCTGCATGAGCAGTAAGAGAACCACTGTCCTGTGAATTAGGATCATGATCTTCAAGTGGATTTCGTCGTCTTACACGGCGTTTGTATTTTGCAAACTAAAAACCATAAATTACAATATTTCTTTTCATTAATATTGAATTTCTAGAAAATTATTAAATTTAATAGTAAATTTGATATCTAACATTGATCGTTCTTTTTAACTATAGCTATTTAACAATACATAATTAACAGTTTTGAGATGAATAAAAAATTTAATTAAATTTACTGTAATAAATAAGCAGACATAAGGTTAATTATTTAATTTATGCTGGGATTAATTAATGTTAATATATTATTAATACAAACTTCACAGTTTAAGAATTCACAACAGTATGGAATCTTGCTTGACATAATTATTGTACAAATAATATACAATGTATAACTTATAGAAATTTGTATAATTATATTATTTAAAATATCTTTTTAAGTTTTGTGTTTACATAAAATAATATATTTTTAAGGATTTAAAAAATTGTATTATAATTTTGTTTAAATAAATATTTGTTTATTTAAGGTATTAATAATAAAAATATCTATACAATTTAATTGTTATTGATATATTAGCCAAGATTAAATTAAAATAAAAACATGCGTTTATTGTATATCTTACTGTAGGACTAGAACGAGATGCGGATACAGCTTTAGACATCACTACAACCATACATATTGATGAATTTTCTTTTTCGATTAGACTGTTCATAATTTTTATAACACATTTCAATGGGCTATCGTTTATAGTTTTTGAGTTTCCCTTGATTAATCTATAAATAAAAAATAATTTGTCTCTCTCTAACTCCCTCTATATCCTATTTTTGTAAACCCCTCAACATATGAGTCACCTGGAAGAATTTTCCGTTTTCTGCGCTTTAAAATTCGCGTTCTTTGACTGCCTAGGTCTGGTCTAAGTATTTGCATTTTTTTGGGTGTAAAAAATTATTAAAATTAAAAAAAAATAAAAATTTGTTCTTAGTAAATTTGAAAGCCGATGACTTTTTAAACATTAAAAAAAAAAAAAAAAAATTAAGGTTTTTTAATTTAGCAGGAAAAAATGATTGAAGGAATAATAAAAATCCTAGAAAAAAAAACAAAAAAATACAATGTTATGATATTTAAATAGTACTCAACCATTACTGTATCAATTTTTGGCCTTGAATTTTTGTACATGACCTTATAAGGATATAATTAAAAAAATTTGCTAAAAAAAAAATTTTATTAGTTGATTTAAAAATGGTACTTTTGGCCGGCTAAATCAGCGTTTGGTCCCACTGTGCGACGGCAACACTATTCCTATAAAAATTTATTTTTAGTTATCTTACCCGTACACGCGTGCTTGTCATCAATATTATATTTATATATAAACAAATTTTTATTTTGACTGACCAATACTATCCGCGTACCATACGGATTATGTACAGGGTGTTCAGTAAGTCAGGAAACGGGTTTGTTGGTAACAATGAGAACAATAGAAACCCGTTTCCTGACTTACTGAACACCCTTCTGTATATATTCCTACCGCCGTTTATACCTCAGGTATAACGTTAGTCCGACCCGCCCGCCTACAAAACACGGCTAAACCTAGTGCATGATACGTTTACGTATTTAAGCCGCTTTACTTGTATACAGAGTGATTTTTTTATCATAACCCACCCAATTACTTACAGAATAATAATAATTTAAAATTTTTTTTTTATTATTATCTTTAGTTACACATTATACTTGAATTATTAACTATGTAATACTTTTTAAGTTCATCCCTTATGCCTGGTAAGGGTGTCAACTTTGTTTTTTTAAATGGTAACACATATTTTTAATTTAATAATAAATGGCATTTGAATTTTTAATAAAACTTAATTCGTTTATTAGATATAATCATTTGAACTTTCAAATTTTTGAGTTAATATATAGGTATAATAAATAAGGGATTACAAATACAGGTAGCTAATTGGTTTTTTATGATATTGCTATCACAGTCACGGATTGTTTATTATCAATTATGACTATCAATAGATATACTTTTTGTATTGTCAGTTAGTGTATTTTTAAACTCACAACAATGTACCTTACTATCATTGATAATAACAATGCTGTGTACCTGCTAATATCGATGTGGGCGTTCATCGTTTCCGCCAAACTGATCTTCTACCTGTCTATCTACTAAAAAAATTGAGAACCATTTAGCTTTATCCATGGTAGGCAGCTTCCCGTACCAAAATTTTCGGCATTTATTAGTTATAGAATTCAATGTTATGTTCAGGTCTGTATTTATGATTTTTGCGTGGGGTATTAATATTAATGTGTAAAATAAAGTAATTTTTTACAATATTTTTTTCCCATCGCCATCAATTGACATTTGCCCTCCTTAACCACTCCCTAAATACAGTCACATCGTTTTGGATAATTACTTATTTTATCACATAAGTACACTTTTATAAACAAAATATAGCGTTTTACCAAAGGTAAATAAATTATAATAGATAACTGTCTTAAGTATGTATATATATTTTTGTAAAAAATAATAATATAGTTTATAAAAAAATATAGTCATCAAAACATTGAAATAAAATTCAAATATTAATTATAAGCTTAAAAAATATCTAATATGTGTAATAATATAATAAAAAATAAATCTATGAACTATACATTTTTCGGTAGTTGTTGGAAACTAATTTCATAAATTCAAGTCTGCTAATTTATTAAACTTATCAATTGCCTCTTTTATTTTATTGAAACGGATTTCAATTTTATTCCGTACGCTTATTGAGATTACGTTATTAGAACTATACATTTTAATGTAATTTTAAGATTGAACGTTTTCTATTAAAATTTTTAAAAATATATTAATTAAAATTATTTTTTGCGGTCTTTGGAAAATATCGTCTATGGCTTTGCGTTTACAGGCGCCTGCAAATTTTGTCTCATAATTATGGGATTAGAACAAGGGCCATTACTTGTATGTTCTATAAGACACATTAAAACTAATTTAAAATAAGGTCAGCTTTAATCAATTTAACTAAAAATTTAAAAAATACCTGTTTGATCAATAATTTCATCAAGCTCATTCACGTGAATGGTACCTTTGCATTCTTTTACAAAACAACGCCAACGTATGTTACCCGTTTGTATTGCTTTGTATGCAAAACGAAACTTAAAATTATTCAATAAAATCATTTTTTGGCCCCGCTTACTTCTGGTATATTCAAATGACATTTTAATTAAAAAAGTAAAATAAAAAAGAACGGATGGCATAATATTTATCGATATACCGATCAATACACTGCTATCTAACTAACAATAATAGAATAGGAAAAAGTAGATAATTATTATCGGGTTATTTTGTGCAAATATTTTAACCAGTGGTTCTCAAGCCTTTATTTGTAGACAGGTATAAACTATCGGTTTGGCGGAAACGAAAAACCGACCTTATTCAGATTTGTCTGAAACGATACGGTCAATTTTGACGGAAACGATAATCTCCCATCGATGTCATAAAAAATCAATTAGCTACCTGTTTTTGTAATCCCTTGTGTATTATACCTATATAATAACTCAAAAATTTGAAACTTTAAATGTTTATATCTAATAAACAAATAAAGTTATACTAAAAATTCAAATGCCATTTACTATTAAATTAAAAACTCAAACATTTTATTGCATTCAAAATACGTGTTCCCATTTAAAAAAACAAAGTTGACACTCTTACCAGGCATAAGGGATGAACTTAAAAAGTATTACATAGTTAATAATTCAAGAATGATGTGTAACTAAAGATAATAAAAAAAAAAAATGTTTAATTTATTATTATTCTGTAAGTAATTGAGTGGGTTATGATAAAAAAATCACCCTGTATATATATATATTCTAATTACTATTAAAATTTATATATTAACACGTTTTATTCTAATTAAGAGATATAAAGTATTCATTCCGATGATTTCCGTATCGTCATTTTTCGAAATCGCATTACCCCTCTCCATGTAATGACGACAATCGTGTCCGGCACTACCGCCCCCAGAGAAAAACCTCGATCTATATAATAAATTCATCGTTCAATTTGATAAATATATCATTACTATTGAATCTATGATATATTTATCAATATGATAATTTTTTTTCTTGTCTTGAACAATAATTAATTATAAGAATAATTATTTTGTTCGTATTAATAAAACATTATCATAAACCCTTGATAAAATTTCTCTATCAAAATTGATCGAGGTTTTTCTTTGGGTGCGGCACCTTGCTGTCACTACGCTTGTGTACGCGATTGAAGTTATACCGAACCGTTTGGGTCTGATGACTCGTGGCCAGCTCACTGGCATAGTTTTCTTGTTGGGTTTGTGTCGGCCTGTATGGGCGAAGCCCCAACGTACGGTTACTAAAGGCTCAATCCATATTTGGAGTTGGTGTCCTTAGCGTCCGGTGGTGTTTCCTTTTCTGTGGTTCGTCGAGTTAGTGCGTCTTGTCACTATAAAATTAATCGTGGCACTCAGGATTGTTGGCGTCGGCCAAGAAGTATTGTTGTGGAAATCTCAAACATTGCGATATCACGCGGCCGAAGAAGTGTCAAGTGGCTGGGTGATGTTACTCCTTTTTCTTATTACTTAATGTTCGTATTATATGTAATTATTTGTTTTGTATATGATTAAAAGGATCGTGTCATTAGTAAAAATTAGAATAGATTGTTTTTTAGCCTATTATTCGACTGTATAAGTAAAACCTCCGATCCGTCATTTATATTAAGATATTAACTTAAAGTTTAAATATAAAGTCTTGAAATATTACTCTGGGAATTATAAGTTTCATTTCATTATATTTTTACAGATAGTAACTACTATCATAACATAAAACTAAAAAGTGAAAAGTAAATATAGTTTAAAAAAACTAAAAAAACACGCATTTAAAGCACATCGAACTAAAAAGTTAAAAATAATTTTTAAAATAAGCTTAAAACAATAATGAATGAAAAATTCTAGTATTATTGTGATAAAAGCGTGGGTGCTTTGTGCCATATTTTTCGTATATTAAGCGCTCGACGCTTTTATCACAAAAATATTAGTATTTTTCGTTCATTATTGTTTTAAGATTATTTTAAAAATTATTTTTTACTTTTTAGTTCAATGGGCTTTAAAAGCGTGTTTTTTTAAACTATATTTATTTATAGCGATTTTAATCACTGTCAGATATCATTATACTTGATCCAACTATGCCACGTCACTACTGTACCGCGACCCCCCTGAGCTGAGTTTTTTTTAAGTAAATTTATCTGTTATATGTCAATTAATCAATTAAACAGGTCTTCTTCTTCTTCCTCGCCCTTAATCCCAATTACTTGGAGTCGGCCACCCTTACCCTAAACTTCCGCTTGACACGATCTCCCACATCCTCTACGCTCACATCAGATGTCTTCATATCACATTCAATAACATCTCTCTATCTCATTTTTGGTCTTCCTGTACCTCTTCTTCCTTCAACATTCATAAATACAACTGTTCTTACGGCTTCCGATTCTTCTCTCCTCATAACATGACTAAACCATCTAAGTCTATTTTATTAATTAAACAGATAATGCATATTTATTCGTTCATAAACAAAGAAAACATGTGTGTTTGACATTTTTACAAATTCTGTAATTAATATAATTTTTAAATTCTTGATATCCTTAATTTGATTTTGTAATTTTTAGGCTGTGCTCATGTCATGCCAGGATAATTACGCTGGAGATTGTTGGCGGTCATCTCTATTGGATTTATTGCACAGGTAAAATTCGTTATATTTCCTTTATAAAAGCTTAATTGTTATTGACTTTTTTCAAAGTAGATTTCATTCTTTTACATTTTAATCAATTTACTTTTCATATGTTAATCGTCTATACAACCTCTCCCTCTATATATAATTACTTTTTTTTGCATGTACTACGTTAAAATTTGTGATTCTCTTTATGATTATTTCTTATTGAAATGTGCTATTGACAATTTATTAGCAATTGTAATAATAAAATAATTTTTACATTATACAATTATTAGGTCGGTCGGTATTTTATTTATTGTTGATTTCAATGTAGTATGTACTGCATCAGCCAATACGATCCAAATTTTTTTGTAGTTATTTATTTACACATCTGTGGTTCAGTTATGCGATTATTTATTCAATTTTGTGTAATAGAGTTCCCTTATTAGATAAGCAGTAATTGTAGTTAATATGTTTATTTCTATTGATGAATGTAAAATGGCAATGATATGATTATTTATTAATATGTGTAATTGACAATTGTACAGCAAATGGAATATTAAAATCTTTTTTTTTTTTTTTACATTATAGTAGTTACTATTACTTATTGTGATTTGTCAATTTTATATTGTCCACAGTTTTTGGTAAAGCTACAAAATTTTCACTTCTGTCGTACCCACGATGTGTTGATAGTGCTGTGCTGTTGGTTTTTTTTTAGCCAGTGCTTGCCCTCTCTTACTGTTCGTCATTCCTCTAAAATGGTACTAAAAGTTTTTTGTTAATTGATATCTTAGATTTTATTTTGATTTTTATTGTTTACTTTACAGCCTGTCAAACCTCGATTCCATAAGATCTTGCTATTCGACAACGGATGATGGTACTTTTCACGATTACTTTGTGCAGTAGAATGGCCGCTATTTTCATACGAAGGAAAATTTTTGTGTAAAACTTCAGGAGCGCCGAGCGTAAATTTGTTCCCTTATGTCTAAAGATAATTTCTAAAAAATTTGAGCTTTATAACACTTGATTAACTGGGTGCAAATAAAGCTCATAGTTTTGGAAAACTATTTTTTCAGTGTTTTACATTTTTAGGCTTTAGACTTAGTTTTATGAAAAGTATTATTACATATAATAATGTAGCTATTGTAATTTTCTATAAAAAAAACTTCTTACAATTTCGCTTTTAGTTAATACTTTTTGGTTAAAATAATAAAACTCGACAATACTCATTAATTATGAAAATTTCCAACTATTTGGTTTTTTTGTAATTTTCTAGTTTAATTTTTGCATTACAAAAAAAAATCTAAACAAAGCTTATTTAAAATACTATTTTAAATAAAAAAGGTTATTGGATAATTTCGATTAAAACTGATAGTTTTTGAAATATTGATAAAAATATTCAAAATAATTGCTCAATACTTTTACAAAACACTTAAAACGACTTAGTCTGTTGTTCTCGAAGTTTATTACCACTACAAGATTTTTTGCTTTTATTTACATTTATATGTTAGTTTTAGGTAACAAAATTAGACTTATGATTATACAATGCAATTGAATAGAAATAAATATATAAATTTTTAATGTGTTTTAATTTTGTTTACAATCAAAATTCATTTAGGTTAACCTAATTTATAGAATGAAAAATTCTATAAATTTACTATTTGTTATCTTACTTTTAACTAACCAATGCATATATAACATGAAAAATCAAAATTAAAAATTGCGATAACGGAACTATTTTATAGTTATCATACAATATAAAAATATTCCTGTATTTAAATAATACTTATTATACCTAGTCTACTAGTCCAACTGTACAGAACGTAAAAATCAGAATCGTGTTTTGATACGCAGGAAAAGAAAAATAAACAATTAGTTAATGACGAAAAGTTGTAAATTGATGTTGCTAATCTTGCGCTTAGTAGTCAATGATTGTTAGTTTCAATGTATATTATCTATTATTATGTTATTACATTATAATTTAATGTATACTGAAATAATGAAAATGAAAGTTATTAGATAGTTTGCCGTGAAAACGGCAGTTTTTGTTTAAAGTTGTTCAGTGAACCATTAATGTTTCTTAGCAATCGTTCAGTCAATGCCTGCGACATCTAAAAAATTATTTTCATTTTATTTGACCAATCTTAATTAATATCATGCAGTATATTGACTTATATTAAACTGTTTATTTGATTTAATTGATAAGAAAATTTAACAAAAACTAGTACATCAATTGTTAATCAGTTATCGTAAAATTTTTAAAATGTTCATCTTGAGTTATTTCTTATATCGGCTTACGTAAGTATATTATTTAAGTGCATTTAATTAATAACGTATTTTATTGTAATACTGTGTGAAATACTTATCATCATCGTACGTCGTCACGTGAGATAATGATGAATGTCAGTGTTACGTTTTTGTCGCGGTGGCCCAATCGTTTTATCAGCAAGAACGTTAGGTGTTATAACCCAGCGGTTCTTAACCTTTGTGTAGTGGCACCCAAGATATTTACCAAATTTTTCATGGGACCTTTTTATAAACAATGTTCAATGACGGAATAAAAAATAACTATTGGGTACTCTTAATTTCATAATTTTTTTTACTCATATTACTTGTACTGATAACAGGTCATAATATTAATTACATTATATTTAAAAATAAACATTTCTTAATTAAAATATTTTTTTGTAAATAAGGAAGAATTTAATGACTCCCTTGGTCTTGATATTGCTTCACTAATGAATCAATTTGAGCTTCTATAGAGTTAGTAAGAGAAATACGCATCGTTAGTTCGATATCAAGCTTTTTTCTTGATTGTAGTTAATGTCGAAAATCCGGATTCACATAAATATGTTGTTGCAAAAGGAACTAATTTCTTTACTGCTTCTTCGTAAAGATTAGGATACTCATTGCTTAAAGATATCCAAAATTGGTTTAAATTTTTAGTATTAAAAGATTGTTCTAATAACTTATCTGACGATAATTCTAATAGTTAGCTCTCATTTAATAAAGATAATTCATGTTTTTCACAGGGTACAGATGGGTTAAAAATCCACATATTGTTTAATCGAATATCATGAGATGGTGGGAAATACTTTAATATTTTATTTTTTAATTTCGACAAATGTGTTTTAATTACACATTACATTACATTAATTTCATTTTTAGCTTCGATGTTTTTTAATAATTTTTTTTCATTCATGTTATAATATGATGGAAACATATACGTATTTTCCTGAATTCATTTTATCCAAAGATCCAGTTTCTTCATAAAAACTTCAACTTTATTATTACATGTAAATATATTAGTTAATGGCCCTTGCATACTAAAATTTAACTCATTTAATAACGAAAAAATATCTAAGAGATACGCAATTTTTGCCAACCAAATTATATCTTGAAAATGTTCGGATAACTGTAATTTTTTTTCTCTTAAAAATAATTCTATTTCAGTTCTTAATTCAAAAATTAAATCTCATTAAAACTTTTCACCGTGATAACCAACGTATATGAGAATGAATTAATACATTATTGTAAACTGAATCAAAATCTTCACACATGACAGAAAAAATACGAGAATTAATGGCTCTTGCACGAATAAAATTTATAATTGTTGTACATTGGTTTAAAATATCATTAAATTTTTCACCCATATATTTTACAGCTAATTGTTTTCGATGTATAAAACAATGAGTGGAAATTAGATGNAAATTTTTCACCCATATATTTTACAGCTAATTGTTTTCGATGTATAAAACAATGAGTGGAAATTAGATGTGCATGTGATACTACACCTGAATGTATCCCTGTCATAGACGCTGCGCCATCTGTACAAATCCCATTTCAAGAAGCCCAGTTAATATTTTTAGATATCATATAATTATTCATTGTTTCAAAAATTTCTTCTGCTGTAGTGAATGTTTTCAACTTTAAGATGCATAAAAACTCTTCTTTTATATCGTTAAATGTATCATCAATGTACCTTACATAAATTAATAATATAGCTGAATTACTTATATCTGTTGATTCATCCAACTGGATGGCATAAAATAAAGATTTTTTTATTTTTTCGACGAGCTAATATTTGATATCATCAGCAATACAAATAATTCGTTTATGAATAGTGTCTGATTCACTAGCCGTGATAACAAATGTGAAACAGAAATTATCTCTGTTAAAGGAGAATGGTGAAAAACCAATTTTTATTTAACTACAAAAAATTTTTAAAAAAAATAATGGTTTAAGAATTTTAGATAACATATCAAAAATACTTAACGGTAAAAATGATAGTAATTTAGATGGCTTCAATGACTTTCCGGATGACTACTCAAGTAATAATATTGTGTACTTTAAATAAGCGCCTATTACGTCAGTAGATGTCGAGCGTACAAAACAATACTATCAAACAACAGAAGGGCATTTGAATTTGAAAACCTAAAAAAACACTTGATTCAGTACAATAGTTACGGTAAGACTAGTTTTGAAACAAATTTTGTTGATAAAATAAATTGATATTTCTTCAACTATTTTCGTAAATATTGTTTATATTTAAATTTTCAGAAATTCCATAAACAAGATATTATTTAACATTTCTTGTCATTCAACTTAAAAATCGAAGCCAGACATCATTTTGATTCTTACAGAATTAATTTTTTGTATTTTTATTTTGATTTTATAATTAAAAGAATAAATTAATTAAATACCAGTATTTTTTTCTCAATGAAATAATTTCATTTTAATGGTATTTAAAGTCCTAAAAAAAAAACCCAGCACAGGGGGGTCGCGGCACAGTTGTGACGTGGTATAGTTGGATCAAGTATAATGATATCTGACAG